ATTAAACAAATTAAATTAAGGAAGCCCAAGCAAAAAATAAAAATGTAAGGTAATACTGAAAAAAATTACGTATTTCTTAGAAACGCTATGTAATTGTATGGATTTTTTAAATATTTTTTTCCAGATATATTTAAAAAAAAAAAATCATGTAATTAGAGAATATAGCATAGGCTCTTATGGGGGTCACTAATTTCACTAATTAAAGTTTATTAAATGTAACTTTTTTGAAGATTTTTTGTGCAATTAAAAAAAAAAATCATTTTTTCTCTTTTAAAAGACAACTTATTTCCAAATGAACTTATCATGATAACATCATAACATCAACTCATCTATTAGTAGAAATGAAATACTTGATATTTATGGTATACTGTTGAAAAGTATATTCTTTATAATAAAAGTATGTACAATTTGTACATTCTTTTGAGTATTTTATTATTACTGTATTGTGCATTAAAGTTTGTATTAATTCGTAGAAATTGTTGTTTTTAAGTTTTGATTTATTTAAATGGTAGTTTCGATACAATTTAATTATTGACCATCATAAGAGTTCATGTTAAGTTTTTGAATGAAAGGATTTTTTTTCTCAAAAATACGTTAGGAAAAAATTTTGAAAAATTTCATACGCGTGTATGTTCTTAAAAAGAACGTTTTTTTTTTTCAGCGTTATTTAAGATTTTTTATTTTTTGCCAAAACCTCCTTAAGTATTACTGAATTTGACAATAATAAGGTTATTAGGTATTAAGATAATTTTATAATTATATTAGAATCATAAAATCATCCGTGGAAATAATACAGGAAAGGGAAAAACTGCATGTAAAAAAAGATAATCACTGCTAAAAAATTAAGAAAAATTTATTGTTCTATTAACTTTTAATTAAAAACTGTAACCATAATAGCCAGTACGATTTTTTGTCACATTACTTAATACAGATTTTACCGCAACAAATACCAATTAAAAAACATCACCACACAGCGCACTTATCCTTGGGATTCATTTTTGTGCCCAGCGGACAGTTAAAATCTTTGGAAAACTCGGGCATATTGGACATGGGTCCGAGGACCCGAAACTCGGGGGGACTGTGTACTCTAGTGGTGATACGCAGTTTGAGCTTCTCAGGCCGGAATTTACTGCACCAAGTGTTGGCCGCGCTCAACCAGAACATCTGTCGGCCAGTGTAATTAAGACCCGGAAGATGAGCTTCGGGACCATTTCGTCTCACCCACTTCTTATAGGCTAGATAGGCCAATTTGATGCCTCCGTTGTCTGCGATGTTTTCGCCTTGGGTTTTCATTCCGTTTAGCTTTAGTAAAGAAATAAGACATTAACCATGATAATCATTTTTTTTACCAACTGATTAGTTGAATCAGGGATGATAAGCAAAAAAGTAATGCAGAAGCTCAATTTTTAGTGTATCTAATAAAATATAAAAACGATTCACAAATTGTACGTAATAATAATTAACGAACTAATTAAATATGGTTTCAAATATTGTTGTTAGTTGAAATGATTTTTAATCAAAAATAAAAATTGTTCACCTATAATTAAATAATAGTTACATAATAAAAAAAATTTTTTTGAGAAAATGATCATAAA